AGAAAGAAAAAGAAAAGAGGCCGGGCGCAGTGGCTCACGCCTGTAATCCCAGCACTTTGGGAGGGCGAGGCAGGTGGATCACGAGGTCAGGAGATCGAGACCACGGTGAAACCCCGTCTCTACTAAAAAAAACTACAAAAAAATTAGCCGGGCATGGTGGCGGGCGCCTGTAGTCCCAGCTACTCGGGAGGCTGAGGCAGGAGAATGGCGTGAACCCAGGAGGCGGAGCTTGCAGTGAGCTGAGATTGTGCCACTGAACTCCAGCCTGGGCAACAGAGCGAGACTCCATCTCAAAAAAAAAAAAAAGAAAAGAAAAATAATACTTTTTACTATGGATTTTTACAAAATGTGAAACAAATGAATTCTATTTTGAGAACAGAGTATTGGTATTGCCAGTAATATTTTAAAGCTCCTTTGCTCCAGCAAGGAAGGTCACCTTCCCCATCCATGAGAAGTCAGTGCTACCTTGGCCCACAGAACCTCAGATTCTCACCTCTGCCTTCCCAGCCAGCCTTCCCTTCTTGGGCACTTTTCTGGGACATAGGCTGAATGCACCCAAAAATGCATCAGCAGACTCGATAAAGAATGAGTTAAGGCTGGGCGCAGTGACTCACGCCTGTAATCTCAGCACTTTGGGAGGCCAAGGCAGGTGAATCACTTGAGTTTAGGAGTTCTAGACCAGCTTGACCAACATGGTGAGACCCTGTCTCTACTAAAAATATAAAAACATTAGCCAGGTGTGAAAGCACAAGCCTGTAGTCCCAGCTATTCAAAAGGCTGAGGCATGAGAATCGCTTGAACCTAGGAGGCAGAGTTTTCAGTGAGCTGAAATTGCACCACTGCTCTCCAGCCTAGGTGACAGAGTGAGACTCTGTCTCAAAAATAGAAAAAGTTAAAAAGAAACACCAACCAAGGTAAGTTCATCTGCCTGCTAAGCCACCCATGAGACACTGCTGGGGTGAAGTAGTCACTGTCTTTGGGAAAAACCATTTAGATAGAAGTGGAGATCCTTAAGGATCCTTAAGCTTTAAAGCTTCTGCTTCCCTTTTCAGTACAGCAAAGAGTTAAGCATGATACACTAGTTCCTATTATTCCCACCTTATGCAGAGACTCAATATCCCCTACCCTCCTCACAGCCCTAAAATACTCCCCAGGCACAGCCTGCCGGTCCCAGGAGAGAGATCCCGGCTGCTAAATGCGGGTGCAAATAAAATCAGCAAAGGGCACCCTGGGTGTGGAGAAGGTATAGGTGTCAGCCTGCAATCCCCTCCCGCAGCAAGATCATTTTTATAAGACCCTTTGTGTGGCCCCCTAGATATCTGACAAATGATTCCAGGAGCCTCTGCCTTCCACCGCACCACATGATTCAAAAGGCAGGCACTGGCCGGGCAAGGTGGCTCACGCCTGTAATCCCAGCACTTTGGGAGGCCAAGGTGGGCAGATCATGAGGTCAGTTTGAGACCAGCCTGACCAACATGGTGAAATCCCATCTCTACTAAAAATACAAAAATTAGCTGGACATGATCGCCTGTAATCCCAGCCACTCAGGAGGCTGAGGCAGGAGAATTGCTTGAACCTGGGAGGCGGAGGTTGCAGTGAGCCGAGATTGCGCCGCTGCACTCCAGCCTAGGCGACAGAGCTAGACTCCATCTCAAAAAAAAAAGGCAGGCACTGGCCAGGCACAGTGGCTCACTCCTGTAGTCCCAGCACTTTGGGAGGCCAAAGTGGGCAGATCACCTAAGGTCAGGAGTTCGAGACCAGCCTGGCCAATATGGTGAAACCCCATCTCTATTAAAAATACAAAAATTAGCTAGGCATGGTGGCGCATATCTGTAGTCCCAGCTACTCAGGAGGCTGAGGCAGGAGAATTGCTTGAACCCAGGAAGTGGAAGTTGCAGTGAGCCGAGATCGCGCCCTTGCACTCCAGCCTGGGCGACAAGAGCAAAACCTCATCTCCAAAAAAAAAAAAGTGTCAGGCACACACTTGAAACAAACCATTAAGTCCTAGTAGCATTTTCTGGAGGCTCCCAGCTGTAGTGGGAACACAGGTCTCTTCTCAGTTCCTGATGGCAAAGCTGTTTTCTTATTTTGCCTTTAGTCATTTGCTTGAACCACTCCAGAAAATTGCCCCTGTCCTGCTGCTGCCCGCCTCTGACCGTGCACCAGTTACAAATAAACCGGGAAATGCAAACGTGGGTGTTTTATATAACCTGCGGCCCCTGCATCTGCGGCTGTGTATTTTGTTTAAAGCTCCAAGCCTTTCTGCTTTGCCTTTGGTGGCGAAGTTTGGGTAAGGGTGTTTTCAACAATAATTCCACTTGTTTCAGGCCCCTTTTGGGGCTCAGACCGTTACTCCTGGCTGTGGCTCTGAAGGGGTGGAGGTCTGGGGCCTTCATTCTGGGTGGCTACTGTTCTTCCCTGATACTGCCCCCTCCAAGAGAAGGGATATTTTAGGCACTGACTACATTGTGAGTTGTTGCAACCAAAGCAGCGTGTTCTCTTGCTTTCAAAACACAGGAAACAAATCACTGTTTCCTAAGTGAAAAGGAACAAAATCAGCACTGAGAGAGGTCGTGGGAGCTGTTTTCCAAGTATCTCAGAATACTTGGCAGGAGGAAGCAAGAAGACCTATATTTAAAATCCTCTTTATCAAGGCCTGTTTGAAGTCAGTTTATTGTTTGGTAAAGAAAAGAATACAAAAGTTTTGACTTTCCTTTATTTTTTTGAGACAGAGTCTCACTCTCACCCAGGCTGGAGTACACTGACACCATTACTGCTCATTGCAGCCTCCAACTCCTGGGCTCAGGCGATCCTCCTGCCTCAGCCTCCTAAATAGCTGGGATTACAGGTGCACACCACTAGGTTCAGCGAATTTTTATTTTTATTTGTAGAGATGGGGTCTCACTGCATTGCCCAGGCTGGTCTCAAACTCCTGGGCTCAAGCATTCCTCCTGCCTCAGCTCCCCAAAATGCAGGGATTATAGGGATGAGCCACCACACCCAGCTGACATAAATTCACATTGATTTAAACGTTTTGGGGACTTTTGCTGTTGCAATAAATTTGTGTGCCTGAGGAATCCCTAAATAAGGCAGATGGTTATGAGAACTATAATAATGATGTGAGCAAAACCCGGAGCCAGAACCCAGAAGAAGGAGAAATTAATTCTGACCCTTAAATCTCGATGTTGCACAGAGGAAATGAACCAGGAAGGATGGTGTGGGATTGTGGAGGGCAGAGGCTGGGAGAAAAGACCTTCCAGTTGGAAGAGGCTCAAAGTAAAGTTCTGGAGTGGGAACTCGGGAGGAGGCACGTGCTCTGTCTGAGCGGCCAGCCATGTGATGGCCCTGGTTTTCAGTCCCTGGTTCTTGGGGCAGAGTAAAACTGAAAGGTTCGTATTTTTCATCATGATTTGCATATTGTGTTTTCCAAGTCTGAGAAGTAGTACAGACATAAATTTGCTAAAAAGCCAATTTGGAATTTGAAGGGACATTTTAACCAGCAACAGGATATTTGAACAAACTTGGAATTTCATGGACTTTTCCACAACCCTCTTCCATGTCTGCAAGCAGCTACCTGGCAGGATGCTCTGGGGTAACTGGGACTGAAGAAGTCCCCTGTCTCATCCACCATGGCAGCTGTGAGAGGGGGCTGGGGCCATGGGCGGGAGGATTTTTGGACCATGATTAGAGGCAGACACCCCATCTTTACAAAATTAAATGGTAAGCCTCCTCTTCATTTGCCACAATTGGCTGTCTCTGGTGTTTGTTGAGTTCCATTTACCCAACAGTTTTCCATCTTTATCTTTTCCCTGCAGTAAATGCAATGGAAGGCCGGGCGCGGTGGCTCACGCCTGTAATCCCAGCAATTTGGGAGGCTGAGGCGGGTGGGTCACGTGAGGTCAGGAGTTCGAGACCAGCCTTGCCAACATGGTAAAACCCTGTCTCTACTAAAAATACAAAAATTAGCCGGGCGTGGCGACACATGCCTGTAGTCCCAGCTACTTGGGAGGCTGAGGCAGGAGAATCGCCTGAACCTGGGAGGCGGAGGTTGCAGTGAGCTGAGATCGAGCCACTGTACTCCAGCCTGGGTGTCAGAGCGAGACTCTGTCTCAAAAAAACAGAACAAAGCAAAACAACAACAAAACAATGCAGCTGAAATAAGCTCTACACACAGGCATCTTTGGGGTGCACATAGAAACCCGATCAACATCTTTCCAAGAGATTGGTATTTTAAAAAGAATAATAAGCTATTCTCACAGGCCGAATGAATGTTTGACAGCCTAATCAGTGTGCCCTAAAGCTTTTAGACAGGGCTGATGAATTATAGCGTAATTTCACAGATCAACCCTTAGATGAGAATTTTCCCCATGGAGTTGGCCTGTCACCAATGAATTGCTCAAGAAAATCCAGCTCTACTGACCCTGGCCATCTCCTGCAGGGAGAAATATTTGGTGGGGTTGAGGGATAAGAAAGTCTTTCATTGCAATGAAGTTGGGAAAAGGGGCTTCATTTGGGGACCCTTTGGTCTTTGAGACTCCCTGAAAATTATCTCCCGTGCCTCCTTTGTTCCCACCACTTTAAGGGAAACCATGCAGAATGACAGAATGAGTTGGCCTTTTGCAGTGGGCCCCCATGGGACCCAGCATGATGAGAAGGCCCTAAAAACAAGACTGCCCTGGTGGATCCCTCACCTGCCCCTACACAAGGCTGGCACTGAAGTTTTCTAGAACCTGGGACTGGGAGCCCAAGGCTTGGAGGCCAAACAGCAAAGCTGCATCTAATCTCGGTCAGCTTCAGGGTCAACTGGACAGCGGGAATCCTTTGATTCTTTCAATCTGGGCATACTGACTAGGCCGTCAGGCCCACCTGGCTCATGCTGGTCATGCCAGTGCCCCAGCAGCTGGGAGCATGTGCTTAGAGCCATTAAGGGGGAGTGCAGCAGGGCGCGCTGTGGAAGGGGCAGGAACAGCTTTTCCCTATCGTTTATCCTGAAGCCTTACCTAGGCGGTCTTTCAAGGGCCTCCATAGCCACCTGGGCATTGTCTCCGTCCTTCTCCTTGAGGATTATGAATCAGTGATCTCTGAGTTTATCTCCCAATCAGGTCCCTTCTGAGAGTGAAGGAGGCCTTGTTAATTAGCACCTTCGGTCAGTAGGCACACGCGGAGACTGTCCCGGGCCAACTGAATGTATGTCACCCTGATTATAAAGGATGGAAAAGGGAACAAAGGTGACTCATTAATGAGGCCTTGTAGTCTCCACCCAATGGAGGACTGTCCCTGAGCCTCGTACATTCCAAGGACAATGGACATGCTTCTGTTATGTAATATTCCAGATGCTGCCACGTCCAGTGTACACAGCACTCCAGTTGCTGGTCTGGGAATGCCCTTAACATAAGGAGAGCCTTGGCCCCAGCCGGAGAAGATCATGCTTTTCTAAGTCAAGGTTATAATTATGCATTTCGAAAGCCTCCTTCCTGTAATTGTTCTGATGTTCGTGGCAGGCATGCATGCAGGCGGCGCACCTAGAAGCTGCTGTCTATCACCATCGCCTCTTTACAGCATTCCTCTCTGATTATGCAGGGAGCACGGGCTTTGACTGGCAAATTGATCCCAAGAGGCTTAGCATGGGAAAGAAACAGCTAGTACTTTCCAGAAACCATCCCACCGTCTTCAACAGGATGAAGGAAGCCCTGGCTTTGCTGACTTCCCAAGAAGGGTCCCAAGAGCTTGCTTAACATCTCGGAAAACAAACCTCTGCATGCACTGATGAAGGAAGAAAAACACAGCCTGTACAGGCTGGGCGCGGTGGCTCATGCCTGTAATCCCAGCACTTTGGGAGGCCGAGACAGGTGGATTGCCTGAGCTCAGGAGTTCGAGACCAGCCTGGGCAACATGGTGAAACCCCATCTCTACTAAAAATATAAAAAAATAGCCAGGTGTGGGCATGCGCCTGTAATCCCAGCTACTCGGGAGGCGGAGACACGAGAACTGCTTGAATCTGGGGGGGCAGAGGTTGCAGTGAGCTGAGATTGCGCCATTGCACTCCAGCCTGGGCAACAGAGAGAGACTCCATCCTGCCCCCCGCCCCCCCAAAAAAATACAGCCTGGACAATCACTAGGCTACCTGTCCTTAGGGATTACGGGCAAATTCCAGACTCTGTCCTACTCTGGAAGGAATACCTTTGAGGAGTTGGAAGGATGCCTTTCAAATCACGCCTGGTCCTCACTGGCGTTAAACTAAACAAAGTTAGGTGGAGGAGCACCGTCAAGGAGCCGGTATCCCTGTGCAAGAGCAGACGTGGCTGTTGTCAAGGAGGTAATAAGCTCTCTGGCAGGATGAGAAGCAATATTTATTTTATCCACCTACAGGATAAAAGAGTATGTATTTAATGAAATAATTTATGCTGAGCGAATGCGAATTATGTTCTCTAACTGCAGGCAATTAATATCTTCACTGATAAGGATAGGACCCCAGGCTGGCTTGCCTCAAACGGACCTTAAGCTCCAGCAGCTCATACTTCTATTATGTACATAATCCCTGGATTACATAAACCCACCTGCACTTACACCCACCAGCTCCACCCTCCCTTGCCAAAGCTGTCACTATGAGAAGAATTAGAACCTTCGCAGATACATTCTGATCCGATGCCAGAGAAAAGGCAGCAGCTTGGAGCGTCAGGAACAACTTCGGGAATCTGACCTTCAGGACATTCCCCAGGCTGCCCTGACCCTCGTCTGGATTTGCCCTGACTAAAAATACTTTCCTTTATTGCACTGAAAACATTTTCACCTCATTTGTTATACTGCCTGAGATCCCATCGACTGGAGATCTTCTTAAAGACTGACAAGCATCTTCTTAAAAATGTGAATCACGGCCAGGTGCAGTGGTACACGCCTGTAATCCCAGCACTTTGAGAGGCCGAGGTGGGCGGATCCTTTGAACTCGGGAGTTCAAGACCAGCTAGAGCAACACAGTGAAACATCCTATCTTTAGAAATAAAAAATAAATTTAAAAAAAAGTGAATCATGAAGGGCCCATTAGACATGTGCAACTAGGAATGAAGTATTCTAACCACCTCGTTTTGCCGCTCACATAGGAGCTCAGCTAGGGATTTCCTGGAGCATATCACAACAATAATGCCATCACAGACGGACGAGGACAGAGGTCTAGAACGTCACTGTGTGTCTGCGTGTTCTACTCCCCAAGTAGGGAATGCATCCACAATCTCAGGCTGCCCCGGAGTTTTTATCCTTCCCTCCACGTTCTTTTTTTTTTTTTTTGAGATGGAGTCTCACTCTGTAGCCCAGGCTTCTCTCCATACTCTGATTGTAAGCATCACCTTTCCAACACAGAAATGTCAGCCCTGCTGGGGCTCCGATGTGTGACTGAGATTCAGCTAATTGCGTGTCCCCACAGGATACTTGGACTCGGAACTCACTGAGGTGAGAGAGGCAGGGAACAGAGCATCGTTTTGCTATTGTGGGTTGTGGCAGAGGGAGCTTGGCTCTGGAGACAGGAACCAAGGCAGCAACATCCTGACTTGGCAGCTGCCTAAATCAGGTGAGGTGGCAACTCCGTCGGTGAGCTGGTTCTTCAGCGTGATCCTGAGAGCTGGTTGTCCCTGGAAGCCTGCCTAGTGCCTGTATCACTGGCTCTCCTGCCAGTTACATGAGCTTTCTCTATCCCTTCTTAAAGCCCTTCTGGCTTGAATTGGCAAGGCTGGATCCTGTTGTCTGCAGCTAAGAACCCCGTGGCTACTGCAGACAAAGCAAAGACGACAGGGGGCAGGGTAAAGAGATGTGGAGAAGCGGTAGGAGAGGCAGAAAGAGATTCAGGAAGTTGGCAAATATTTTGAATAATAGCTACTATTTATTGAGGCCTTGCCATCTGCACTATCTTTTTTTGTTTTTGAGACAGAGTCTTTCTCTGTCACCCAGGCTGGAGTGCAGTGGCACGATCTCGGCTCACCGCAACCTGTGCCTCCCAAGTTCAAGTGATTCTCCTGCCTCAGTCTCCCAAGTAGCTGGGATTACATATGCGTGCCACCATGCCCGGCTAATTTTTATACTTTTAGTAGCAACAGGGTCACTATATTGGTCAGGCTGGTCTCAAACTCCTGATCTCAGGTGATCCACCCACCTCAGCCTCCCAAAGTGCTGGGATTACAGGCGTGAGCCACCGCGTCCAGCCCATGTGCACTATCTTTACTCCTCACCACTCTGTTAGGCATTATTCCCATTTTACAGATGAGGATACGGGCTCAGAATGGTTAAGGGGCCTGCCCAGTGCCACACAGCCTTTAACGGTGAATCAGGAACTCGAACTCCAATCCTTTGTGCTCAAAGCCTAGGCTCTCCCTGCTTTGTTGCTTTGCCCAGGCCAACACTGCCTGCAGAAAAGAGTGGACCCTCCTTTCCCCATTCTTTCTGCTCCTCTTATCTTCCAACTCTCAGGACCCGGACATTGAGCTAAGCCTGAGGAACACCACAGTTTGCTCATCTGGCCTTAAAAGGCTGTGTAAACATGCATTAGTCAGCAGCAGCCCACACGCTGGAAAACATTGATATACTGGGGCAAACATTCCCAGAATAGATGACAAACCGCCGAGTCCACCACTCAGGGGATGGGATTCCAGGAACTATTTGCTTTCTGCCTTCAACAATTGTGCTATTTGAATTTTTTTCACACAGTAGGTGAATTGCTTCTGTTATCACACCATATATTACAACTCGTGCCACCAAATCAGTTGTTGAAGAGAGAAGGGCAGGCAAGAAAACATAAATTGTGATTATTGAATAGTGAGATTATCAGTCATTTTTATTTTCTTTCTTTCTTTCTCTCTTTCTTTCTTTTTTTCTTTCAGAGTGACAGGGTCTCACTCTGTCACCCAGGCTCAGTGCAGTGGCACAATCTTGGCTCACTGCAGCTTCAACTTCCCGAGCTCAAGTGATCCTTCTGCCTCAGCCTCCTGAGTAGCTGGGACTACAGGTGTACACCACCATGCCCAGCTAATTTTTTATTTTTTGTAAAAACGGGATCTTACTACGTTGCCCAGGCTGGTCTCAAACTCTTGGGTAACATAGGAGCAGTCCTCCTGTCTTTGCCTCCCAAAGTGTTGGGATTCCAGGCATGAACCACCATCTCCACCCTATTTTCTTCCTTAGGCATTTCTGCATTAAATGTATTTCTAAGATGAACATGTGCTCCTGGTAGCTACCACGAACAGATAACCCCGACTCACCCTGGGTTGCACCATGAGGACACTGATAAGAACACACGACTGCAAGGCAGAAGGAGGGCCGGGTTTGGCCGGAGCAGCAACGCCACCCAAGGCCCTCTTTGCTCTTTCTGCCTCTCCTCTCTGCGGTCCCCGTGTCTCCTCCATCACAGGTTGCATCACCTCATGGGCACAGCATGTCTGCAGCAGCCCAAGAATCACACAGCATCCAGACACAGAAACGGGTTTTCTTTCTTGGTGTCTCCTTTTTTTTCTTTTCGAGATGGAGTCTCACTCTATTGCCAGGCTGGAGTGCAGTGGTGCAATCTGGGCTCACTGAAACCTCCGCCTCCCTGCTTCAAGCGATCCTCCTGCCTCAGCCTCCCGAGTAGCTGGGACTACAGGTGCCCACCACCACGCCCAACTAATTTTTTGTATTTTTAGTAGAGATGGGGATTCACCATGTTGGCCAGGATGGTCTTGATCTCTTGACCTCATGATCCACCTGCCTCGGCCTCCCAAAATGCTGGGATTACAGGGGTGAGCCACTGTGCCTGGCTGGTGTCTCCTTTTAAGAGTGTGGGAACCCTTCCAGAACCCCCTGAACTGGTTCCCAGGCCCACTCTTTTTTTTTTTTTTTTTTTTGGAGACAGAGTGTCACTGTGTTGCCCAGGCTGGAGTGCGGTGGCGAGATCTTGGCTCACTGCAACCTCCGCCTTCTGGGTTCAAGCAATTCTGCCACCTCAGCCTCCTGCGTAGCTGGGACCACAGGCACGTACCACCACATCTGGCTATTTTCTTTCTATTTTTTTATAGAGACAGAGGTCTCACCATGTTGCCCAGGTCTCAAACTGCTGGACTCAAGTGATCTGCTCGCCTTGGCCTCCCAAAGTGTTGGGATTACAGGCGTGAGCCACCACACCTGGCCACCCAGGCCCGCTCTTAAGTCAGTCCCTGGCAGGGGGGTTAGAATCAGGTCCACCTGCTGGCCAGGCAGGGGCGGGCTTCCCCGGCATGTGGAATGGGGTGGACACCTGGAAAAAGTTGGGGCC